GCTTCCCGATCCTTCCAAGAGTAGTTCCTTTCCGCTTTCGAGACTGAGCATGAGCCATAAGGCAGAAGGTCGCTCCTGACCTTCGTTATCCATATCACTCAACCCCGCTATTTCTCCCAGGGAGATGCCACACAGAGCAGCACTAAATGTTGGTTCGGGTTATGGTGCCATAATATACTACCCGACTGGAAAGATTCTTTTGACTCATTGGGCTTCCCCACTGCCTTTTACTCCGTCTCGCAGAACTTGATTATGGGGCTCCAGAATACTCGAAACTCCACGTGGAAGATGAGCATCAAAGTTCAGGAGTCCTAAGAAGGCCTGAAGCTGCTCCTAGTCCTTTCGTGCATAAGCATCATGTATTCCTTTCTCTTGGTTAAGTTCTGGAAGTACTTACGTCATTGAAAGAAGGGTAAACGCACAGACGAGTTGGAAAAAGGTTGACATAACTTATTCGGACACAGCGAAGGTCTTAAGTTACGTCGACTTACACAACCTTAGTTCCCTTTCTATTCTATGAACCTAACTTCTTGCATTTCTCAAGTGAAATTTCTTTCGAATCAGGCGTAGCCCATTCCCTTAGACGTTTTGCAGAAAAGCCCGGACTTGAGCTTTAAAACGCAAGTCCAGCTAGAAACTGCCCCTGTGACACTTGAAAATGGATAGAACGGTGTCGGCACCGAATTGTAGGCATGTAGGCGCTGCTGCGTCGTCGGGTGTCATGGCACTCGGTCCGTGACGTTGCCCCTCTCTCAAATACCATGAACAGTCCTTTGCAAGTATTCAAGGTAAGAATGTTGGAACTTTGTTTGTCAAAAGCGAGCTATTCATAGGCTTGCTCGAGGCAACTTGAAAAGAACCTGGCAACCTGCCAGTTAACTGTTCTGCAGGGAGTTGACAACATGCTTACCATTTAAAAAGTGCATCAATGGTGAACTTATATTCACAACACTGCCGCATTTCACCATTTTTCATCAAGACGGCCGCCACGACTGGCGTTGGGCCACGCGGATTTCCGCAATGAAATCAGAACTTTTCGTCGAATAACTTGTGTGATGGCACCCCCATCCTTGGATGAATTGTTAAAAAGGAACAGCACGAGGCTTGGGGAAATTGATTTTGAAGTCTGATTTAGGTTTCAACGTGCTACTTTAATTCCTCGTTCTTGTCGACTCTTATATCAAAACTTTTGGTATTTTTTTCCTTGGGGGGGGGGGGGGGGGGGGGGGGGGGGCGTTAGGTTTGACGGGGCTATAGTCAGTTACAGGTTAAGAAGGTAGCGGCAAATGCCCCTCAAAGGGAACCAGATATCCCTCCGCCACCTCCGCATCCAATAGCGTCCCACCGTTTCCGTGACGTCGCGGCCAACGCGCGAGGAGGGTCTTGCCTTTCTGTACATATTTGCTTTATCTTTCGACTTTTACTTCGCATTGTGGAAGCCACGAGAGGGAGATTAGAGTTCTCCCCCACCGACGGAAACAAATACGACTTTCGGGGATTAGCTTCCCCCCCGATGGATACAAAGGCTGCTTTCAGGGGCTCGGTTCCCTCTCGGATGAATACAAAGGTCGCTTTCTTAAAAAGTGGGATCGGAGACAAGTGGGAATCCATTGAAGCGGAACAAGGAGCGTTTGCAGTGAACTCTTCTTTCGACTGCGGAGAGATTTGAAACGGGCGCATCACACTTGTGGGAGGAGCTTCTCCTACCTTCTTGACTTGTAACCGACTATAGTTGATGCATCTTTTGCATAATAGTGGTTGCCAGCGCTCCGAACCCTATTCCTCCAAAGCAGGGTTTCTACACTTCCCTCTGTCTACAGCGGTAACTCGTGTTCTTTTCTGCTGAATAGTATGATAAAATTGACACTCCCGAGATGTGTCAGTTTACGTTGCGAAAACGTGAAGTAATTTTAGTTCATATCAGTTTATGCTTGGCTATTCTTACAAAAGTACTTGAACCGGCGTTTTTAGAGAACAATGAGTTCGAAGGAGGGTTACGTGGATAATCAACATACGCTGCAGAACACGGAGTGCGTCGGCACGTCATCCGGGATCCAATTGTTTCTGAGTGGGGAGGGGGGCAAACTAGGGTTAGGGCAAACCAGACCTCCCCCTCCCTTCCTCTTCCTTCCTTCCCCTCCCCCCCCCCCCCCGCCCCCCCGGACCGGGGGGCGGTACCCTTGGGTATCCCTTGGGCGCCGCCGGCCAGTGTTTGCCCTGCCCATTGGCGGCTGTTTCAGATGGGGGCGAAATACATGCCTTGCCACCCCCCCCCCCCCCCCACCCCCCTTTGAGAACTGGGGGGGCAAGCGCCCCCTTCATGCCCGAGCCTCGTTGGAAAAAAAATCTCGAGCTACAATTTCATTTTGTATTTTTCTAACAGTGCCACACTGAAGCCACCTTTTGCCAAATATGTGCTGCCACCTAGACACGCGACTGGGTTCGAGACTAAATGGCTAGAAAACAATGTGTGCGCGAGGCCACTCTCACCCGCTCGACACCCAAAATATCAGCTACATCCTGTTTGCCCATTGAGCCGCTGTGACCTAGATTAGAGCTCTGCACGTGGCGGAGCCAACCCGAAAGCCTGGGCCCAGTTGAGCCGGGCCTGGGCCGGGAGCGCGGATTGTTTCTGGGCCCAGGTCGGGCTCGAGCAATGGTGTAGCATGATTTCTAAAACGTTGAGAAGAAAATGCTAACACATTGATCCTTTCGATTTAAAAAAAAAAATGAAAGCCGAAAAGAGACCTTGCTACGACTCCACTAAAAAAATAATTAGAAATATAGAAAGCTGTCTTGAACGAAGGAAACCCACAAGATACAAAGAATTCTGGGGATCCATCAGCATAGTGGGACAGCTGCCAACAGGCATGAAAATGAGGGTAAACCGGTCGCAGGGAACAGTATGATTGTGAGGATCGACTGATGTTTTATTCATTTGATGCATCTTGTTGGCGAATCTTGTGTCGCAAATCTAGGTTTTGGGAAACGGATTTTCCGTGTTAACGCAACCGAAAAAGTGGCGCGCCTCCAAAAACCGTTTGTGTTAACGCAACCAAAAAAGTGGCACGTGTCCTTTGCTTCTGGAGCAATTTTTTGCTGAAACATCATCAAGGCCTGTCAATCACCTGAAGGAGAAACGCGAGCTTGCCAATGACCAATCGACTTCGCTACGACGTCTGACCTTCAAGGCGGAGCAAACTTTTGGAAGAGCCTGATTTTTGGCCAATTCCCTATCCGAGTCAAATGCCGAAAAAAAGAAAAGCAAACATGGCGGCAAGCAACAAACGGAGAAGCGGTGCGCACAGGCGACGAGTCTTGATTCTACTCGGTTGCAAGTGTTGTGAACGGCGCTTTAGCAGTACCAGTTGGTGGTGCGGTGCAGATTCATCAAAAGTTGCGACAAGTATAAGCACTGCATATAAACATGATGACTGGGGATAACATTCTTTTAGCAGTGCAAAAATGTCCGAAATGCTTAGAGATCATCCGCCTGTTCTTCGACGCTTGCGATCTTTTGCTTGGTTTGGCAGGGCTAGTAAACCCAGTGAGCCGAATCTGACGAAGTTTATTGAGTGGTATTAATAAAGCAAACTGTCTCTTCACACCGTGCGTACTTCATATAATTTTAATGCGAAACGCTTGATACTCCAGATAACATGGTTTCCCGAAATTCTCGTGAGTTAATATATCACTGGTTTTGCGCATCAAACTCCACATGTGAACCGGCCGATTTCGCTAAACTGTGGCGCATTGAAAAGATGCATTGTGTGAGTAAGCCGGGCCTGGTCCGGGCCTCAAAAAGTAGGCTCGTAGAGTGCTCTAACCTAGATACAGCTCCCCGAAACTCGCCTTTGTCCCCATCGTGCAGTATCTGCTGCCCCAAAGTTGATACAAAGAAACAATTTCCCCTCTCTGCTCGGCCAGAAGGGGAGAGAGAGGGCACCAGGTCCATTTTCCACCGATATTTCTGCAACAGATCCAAATTGACCGCAAAGATATCCTCCCCCCACCCCCCCCACCCCCTTTATTTGGCACATAAACGTTTTCAAGTATTCAAGTCACGCGAATTACCTCTGTAGTTTGCAGACTCCTCTCCTAATGACGTGCTATCTTTAACATAAGGCCCGATAAACGCCGATTATTTGTCTGACACCGAAATAAACCGAATCTGTGTGAAAAACTAAACCCCGAAAACTCGGAACGTCAACAAACGACTGCATCGCGTGCTTGGCAAACGCAGCGGCCACAAAGCTTTCCGTGACGCACCAGACGTCGTAACGCTCGCCGATCACAAAACGGTTTACGTGGTTTAAAGGACTTTCTTCGCCGGACAGATATCAGCCTAGCGGCTAAACCTAGCCTGAGCTCTACGTAGACACAGAACGATCAACGGTTGTTCTCGCTGGAGCTGTGCTGGCCCTCGGTAAAGAGCCGGTCAGGGCAAGGTTTGGCCCCTTGGAATACAACGGTAGACATGTGCCGCGCGATCGGCATGAGGAATTATCACCGTATTCATAGATTCCGTAGTTGGGGACGCGTTGCTCGGTGTCGCCGTCCAAACACGGGAACACGGAACGACGACATGGTAGTAAGTGTTGGTGCGAAGCGTAGGCGATGCCCAGCTTGTCCAAGCGAATTGCAAGGATAGTGTCGGGAAGTGTCACTGAAGGAGAGTTTACGCTCACGAATGTACGACCCTACGAGGCACATTTCAATTTTTCAAGACCGGGAAAGGACGCCCGCAGCTACACCTCCACCATTGTTCCTTGTTTTGTTTTCATCGGTAAAGGAAATTGTGGAGGAGTAAACAATTCGTGCAACAATAGGCGTTATTTCTACCGTTTTGTGTTTTAAATTAACTTATTGTTTATAAAACAATCTAAATATTACAAAAAGGGTAATTGAAATGTTTTAAGCGTAGATTTTAGCTGGAGAACTTGAAATTCTAGCCTTGAAATTTCGCCTTTTCTGCGTCCTATCTCTGACGTCACATTGTAGCTTTGGGAACGATAGGCGTTCCGAAGGGGCGAATGCGGTCTCGCTCGCAGTGTTTTCAAATCGCGAGGAATCCTAATCGAATCTCTTTAGCTCGCTTAAAAAAACTACTGAATTAAAATCATCCACTACCGAAACTATTAAAAAGCATTGATTTTACGTCAGTCTGCCTACATTGAAAGGGCCTACGACGCGTTAAAATCCCAACCCCATCCCTCAAAAGAGATTTCCTCTCGGCGAGCATTAAAACGAAAAAAAAATCTCCTCATACGCATACCTGCGTACTATCGTTGGACGAGGGGTAGAAGAACGACCTCGTCCTTTTCGTGGCCTTAGCCGAGCTCCTCGAATCCGGCAGGCAGGATTTAGCCGCGGGCGAACGATGAGACCGCAGTCGACCAGTTAGGGTTAGCTCCGGTGTTCACGGCGGAATCAAAATGGCGGAGCCATGACGGAGTTCCGTCAGCGTGTGTGTGCCTTCGGTGAGCGACTGTGCCGGCGCAAGTCGAGCCCCATGGATACGTGATCGTGCCCGACGCCCAGGAGCCCCCGGCGGAAGCATGAGGGAAGAACGGTCGGCCCGTTCACGGACCAAGGCCCGCGAGAAAGCCCGCAGCCCCGAGGGAGAGCGGCAGCCGCCGCGAGAGCAAGGCGAGGCATTCGTCACAGAGCAGCGGACACCGCAAGCACAAAAAGAGTCATCGGGCGCACCGGCGGAAGCATGCGACGCGGGATTCCGATCGGCCCATCGTGGCCACCAAGCCTCTCGTCGAGTACGACGACGTCAGCTCCGACTCGTCGCTGTTCTCGGACGAGGGCGACCACCACTCGTACCCCGCGTCCCCTCCGCCGCCGCCACCGTCGTCGTCGAGCCGGCACGCCGCTGAACGGACTTCGGAGCGTGCCGAAAGCAGCAAGCGTCGCCACTCGTCACGACGAAACAAGTCGTCCAACGACACCAAGGAGAGCTCGTCGCGGTCGAGCCGGCGCAACCACAGCGACCGGCCGCCGTCTCCGCCGCCGCCGACGTCTTCCTCCAAGTCGTCCCGGGGACTATGCGTGCGCAGTGCCCAACACGTACTATGAGCGCGACGTGGTCAAAGACTACGCGTCGAGTCGGACGTTCATGGGTCCCTACAGGGACGCGGTGCTGGACGGTTACTACGCGACGGCGCACGGCATGCCCGACTCGCACGACTGTTACGGGGGCGGCAGGTCGAGTCGCAAGCGGGTCCCTGTCGCCGGACCACCCGCGCGCCTACAAGAGTGCCCGGAGTCCGCCGAGCTCGCCTAGTCCGCCGCCCCGGCCCGCCAAGCGCCGCAAGTCGCCCTCCGACGCTCGGGAGAAGGACCGGCCCCGCAACTATTCGCCCAACAACTCTAGTCTGTACACGTCGCGCAAGAGTTCCGCGTATTCCAGAAGTCGTAGCAAGAGTCCCGTCAGGTGAGACATATCTTCTTTCACGTCGCCTCGACCTCCCCTAGAGGTCTTCCTTTCTTGGTAACTAGGAAACGAAGCGATGGGCGACGGAAGGGTGCCACCCCATTGTCGTTTGCCCCCTTGCCTTGACATCTCGTCTGTTCCTAACCATGCTTCGACCCCTCTTGGGACCGATCACCTCGTGTTTTGTTTTGCTGAATGTCATCGATGTGGGTCGCGAGTCGTAGCCATCGGTCCTGGCTACGCCGCGGTCGAAGGGTTCTTTCCTGCCGTTCGCGAACAGCACGTGACGCTGAACGTTGAAGGTCGTTCCAGCGATTGTTGCCGATGGAACTATGGAACGCTGTGTGACGCGTATTTACGTGTCCAAAGGAACTCCCCCTGACGTTCCGAGCTTTATTCGCGTCAATGCAACTGCAGAAGCTTATACGTTGGCTTTGCGGTGAACACACACACACACATTATATATATTCTTTATATATTTATTTATTTCAATGATTTCAGGGCCAAGGGGCATTGCAGGGGTACATACAGTATTTGTTCAGTAACAAATTCATACAAATGAGGCAACTTGGTTATAAAAGTTAGTCTGGCATAATCTTGGCAAAAGTGAGTAGTTACTAGTGCTTCTCTAAATAAAACAATTGATGGAATAGTGACTACTGATGCGGGAAGGTGGTTCCATTCGGATGACGCTCTGGGGATGAAAGAGTCGATGTAAGCTAAAGTTTCAGTGAGGTATGCCAACTTTAAGACTGATTGTTGTGGGGGAGAAATGAAAGAGGGGCTAATGAATAGTTTGTCTTTATGAGAAGTGTTAGAATGAAAAATTGTATGATAGAGGCATAAACGAGATATTTTACAGCATGAGGATAGAAGAGGCAGGGGCAGGGTGGTTTTCATAGATGAAACACTTGCAGTGCGATGATAGTTGGACCATGAAATGTGTGGCGCGATTTTGCAGCACTTCAGTGTTCATTACAAGCGTTGAGTGACCGGGATCCCAAATTGCTATGGCATATTCCAGCTTTGAACAATTTAAAGTCTTGTACAGAAGCTTTAGTAACACAAGATTTAAAGAAAATATATTCTAAATATCCAAGCATCGAATTAGCGTTATGATAATATGATCAGAATGCGTTTTCCATGATAGGTTAGAAAGGATGTGAACACCAAGATACTCGAATGAGGTTACAGATGTGAGCCGAGTTTTACAAATTGAGTATGATGATGGTGACGCTTTACAACAAGACACCCTCAGTTTTGCATTTGTTAGTATTGCGAGTCATTTGCCATAAGTTACACCATTCCGAAGCTGCGCACAAGTCATCCTGAAGAAGTGCGGCATCAGATTTATTAGTAATTTCACGATATATTATGCAGTCCTGTGCAAATAAGCTAATATGGGATGATACACACATTGGTAAGTCATTAATATAAATAAAAAAGAAGGGGGTCCCAAAAAGGAAGGGGAGGAAGTGGCCGAGTGGGCTAACGCGTCTCAGCTCGGCGCGTGGAGCAAAAGCTTGCGCTGGGAACCTCCTGGGTTCAATCCCCGCCACCCCCGCCCGTTTCGATCTGGATGAGTTTCGTACCGGCACGCATTCGTGTAATCACTACTGCGTGGTGCACGTTAAAAACACCAGGTCAGCGGTTGTACTGCACTGGCTAAATTTCTCATCTACAGGTAAAAGACTGATTGCCCGTTGAGGCATATAAACATACAAAGGCTGTATAAACATACAGAGCAAACCAATTTTTTTTTTTTTTTTTTCCCAAAACGGATTTTTGGGAGTCACCGGAGGGTAACAGGACTGATGCAAGAATTTGCTTAATTTGTAATAACAAGCTGTGATAGATGAGTTAGAAAACATTTAACCCAGGACAAAACTTTAGAATCAATATTAAATTTATCAAGCTTAAAAAACAATAGTTTGTGAGATATTTTGTCAAAGGCTTGCAAAAGCCGAGAAAGACTCAATCAACCTGAGATCCATCCATGGTAAAGGATGGAGAAAAGATCATTAGTCAAAGTAAGAAGTTGACTTTCACAGGACAGCAATTACCAAAAACCATGTTGCAAAGGCAAAAAAAAAAAAAAAAAAAATTTAGAATCTTAAGAAACAAACTAGATTAGAATAAATTATGTGTTCTAAAATTATATATATATATTTATCTTTTCTTGGTGACATTCGTTGTTGAGTCACAAAGCTTGGATTTATACCTGAAACACTCTTGTAAGATGCAGGCTGAACCTTTTCTTTTTTCTCTTTGAATTGAAGAGACGACATACAGCAATGCAGATGAGGCAGTATTTTCACCTAAATAAAACTTCCACAGGAATTCCTCAGCGTATCCACAAAGTCTGCTTTGTGATCTGTGTCTCACCTGTAGGTCTGTCCTCTTTCCTTTACAAGTAGTTAGTAGGGTGTTGTCTTCAAGGTGCAATGGGAAGTTCTGCTTGGTGTCAACGAAGTTTTTTTGCCAGTGGCATAGTAATGGGGGGGGGGGGGGGGGGGGGGGGGGGGGGTTGCTGCTGCTTTGGGCTTCGGGGTACCAGGTATTCCACTCATGTGGGGTTCTGGTGGCACCCCCCCCCCCTTCCTTTCCCTTGCTTTACTGGTTGTGATCTCAAGGTGTGAAAAAAAAGGGGGGGGGGGGGGGGGGGCAACGAAAGATTTTATGGTCCAGGGTGCCGGAAGCCCCAGCTACGCCACTGTTATATGCGTTTGTGTTTTTGGGGTGCTTGGATCCTTGTGGTTCACTTTGTGCAGCAGTTGCAAACTGGGTCAAAATTTTGCGATGTCCATCTTGTACTCAATTCAGCACGTTTCGGGGCAATTCATGTTCCATTGTTAGCTTAGGGAGGGCAGAACTAGTCAAAAGGTATGGACACACCGGTACTCTGAGGAACACCTGCATCTGATGATAGTAGGTTTCACATATCGCAAGAAATAACAATTTAATAATATCCACGGAGCAACAGCCAACTTGTTAAATGCATGCAAATTTGAAACGTCTGCTCTGAAAAGCACGGTGTCTGAAAGTAAGAGAAATCTTGAAGGCTTGCCCTTGATGACTAACTTTTAGATGGGCTGAGCACTGTCACAAGGCCAGATCAAGCACTGCTCTTAGGAGTTGGTACCAAACATGCAAGCTGTTTGGTTTTTTCTCACAATCCAGTGCACTTCTTGTGTAGTGTAACATAGCCAAATGTTGTAATTCTTCTACACAACATGTCTTCTTTTACAATCCTGATATAGTGAGGGACCTACGACAGCAAGAATATTTCTTTATAGGACCCAGCCTAGTCGTGATATCCGATACCTCTTGTTTTTGGGAAGAGAGTAGCCATTTTGGCAGGATGTGCAGTTTGTCAACATGTCGCAGCCAGTACAATGTCCGAGTGGTTAGACAAGCCTGCTTTGAAGCCATTTCATTGGAGCTGTTGTTCTCTTGAGACTTAGCTGCTTTATTTTGTTGTAAATCATCTATTGGGATTTCTCTGCATAAAGAAATGGACTATGATCTTGGAAACTTAGCTCCATTTGAGTCAAGATTGAGGAAAAGTGCTTTGGGGAGAGTAATGTGGCTGTTTACTTGCTGATATGTGAAAGATTTGAAACTTTCAGCTTCAATTCTATGCTTGTTTTAATACTTTTGTTTTGTGTTTCTGTGCCTCGGTTCAGTCTGATAGTCTCAGCTCGTAAAGTGATACACTACTTACGCCTGAGAAGTAGGCTCTGAAAAGCAGAGTTATGGATAACACAAGTTTCACAGAAGCATGTGTTGTCACACCTACCCATTCTATTCTGTTTGTTGTCTGACTAAATTGTTAAAAAATAATTCTTTGCAAAAAAAAAAAAAAAAAGAATTGGCTTGCTCTGTTTGCTTATACAGCCTTGATAGAGATACGCCTCAGCGGCAAATCGGTCTCTTAGCTGTAGATAAGAAATTTAGCTAGTGCAGTACAATTGCTAACCTAGGGTTTTTAACATGCACCACGCAGTAGTGATTACACGGAACGCGTGCCGGTATGAAACTCATCCAGGTCGAAAGGGGCGGGGGTGGTGGGGATCGAACCCAGGAGGTTCCCAGCGCAAGCTTTCGCTCCACGCTCTGAGCTGAGACGCGTTAGCCCACTCGGCCACTTCCTCCGCCTAATTCTTTGCAGACTACTATTGTCATATATATTTGAGCACATGCATGAGCTTATGAAGGTTAAGGACAAAACAGAATGCAGTAATTTGGTTTTAAACTCCTCTGGGTATGGAAACTCCATTTATTTAACTGAGTCAATATGATTGTTACTGTGATCATATAATTAGGGAAGAAAGAATTTAATATTGCCATTGTTCAAGACCAAATTTTTTGGGGCTATGCCTATATGGCTTAACGTAACTTTCCATTAGAATATACTGCTGTGTCTCACTGCTATGAGGGGGTTGTCTGTTTAGTTACCTCTTCTAACTCTGTGTCCTAGCATGTACTGCACAATTGCAATTAAAAAAAACAACAGAATTATACAGTAGTGCCAAACCATTAATAGGATGTGCATGTGCATAAGTTATACCCTTGGTAAAAAGCAATATACCAAAAGCATAGTCGGTTGCAACTCAAGAAAGTAGGGTGAGGGTAAGAAGGGTCGGGGAGGAGGAAGCAGACAGAAGGCTAAAGAGAGGAGGTTTCCCCCTCTCTTCTCCAGTGTTACATCTGCTTCCTCCTCCGCAGCCCTTCTTACACTCGCCCTACCTTCTTGAATTGCAACAAACTAGGGTTCAGTTGTTTGTTTTTTTTAACCTCACTAAATACATTTAAATATATCCTTAGTTTACTTACAGCATGTTGAACATTTGCTTTATGTAGCATGTACACCTTCATTGCCAGACTGGGTCAGCGTGTGGAGAGCACCATTAAAATACAAAGTTCACTAAACCTGTATTAAAAATAATCTTAAAAGCATGCTAAAAGCTTTTTTTTTTTTTCAGAAATGTACAAAATTA